GCGTCTCGCGCGTCCTTTACATAACGGCCGCCGCCGTTGTTCCACTAAACTCTCTTCCGTTTCCACCACGTCGTCCGGCCGCCCTATGATAACACACAGATACCTCTACTATACCTGCGATAAAGATATGGTAGTCGCTGCTACCGACGCATACCGAAAAACGGCGGCGGCGTCGCGGCTGGCTTTTTGGCACTACCGCAACGGGTAAAAATAATTGGCGGAAACGCGAAGCGCTTTTGTGTCGACATTTTTAATTGGGCGCGCCGATGAAATTCGCAATTAACGCGCCAAGTACGCAATTAGCGTACGTAAGAAGTGGCGTCGTTGACAATCGGAAAAGTCTAACCTCCCGCGTTAAAGAGGCTTTTGGGTGTTTTAGATAGAAGAAAATTTAAAAACGTTTCTCGGTTAGGTTACAATAATGAATTATTTACACAAAGTCTTAAATATTTGATGATAAAAAAGTCGGCCATGTATTTCTCAGCGCCGGATCGATAACGGACAAAGACCAAATGGTGTTAACATCATCATCATCATCATAATATAGATTAAAATAAAACAAAGTCCACGCTATACCGCGATGATTAATCGTACATTAAACCGTGCCAGAAAAATGTACAAAATATAATCATATGCGATAAATCACACAATCAACATGATAATATTCAACGATGTCACCTACGCGCCGTTTGTCCGTATTGCGGCCTCCTATACAAACGGTGTGTACTGTGTGAAATTACACATACCTATACCTATACCGAGATAAGATGCCGCGTATCGATTTCAACAGACTTTGTGATCTTTACACGCCGAGTCTAAGGGGTCATCATCGTCTCTGATTCGGGGAAACGCCCGGATTGTGTGTAGAAAAGGTAAGAAAAACACAACAGTTCAAACGAACACTAATTATCAACTATATTTATTGTTATTATACAAATTTTCGGTGTTGAAGAATTTGCAATAACAACAATAGGAGAATTATTTTTCAATCGAGACCAAATCGGGACACATGCACACCGAGCGGCGCTTAAATTAGGTTCGACCTATGCCGGACAAGTTGGCAACGGGCTACACATTTGTGCTATCAATACAGACATGTGTCCTCCTAATCGAAACGGACGTGGCCCAGTTGGCACAAGGGTTAAAGTATGCGACGACTGCGATGCGTATACATCCATTATTCGATTAATATAGTGCACACATAGTGTAGTCACCTTTCCTACACCTTGTGTGTGTGTAAGACGGAGAAAGAGAGTTGGGGTTGAGGTAAAAAAAAGTATTAGAAACGATTTTTAAGGCGTAGCAAAAATAAAATAGGGAGGGTGATACGACAACGTATAAGTAGACTCGCCGCAATGCACCACTGACCCAGTTCGTACTTGGGGTTTCGTGCCACGTGACTTGGCCCTTAACAGCACCCCCCCCCCTGCCCATTCTCTGTTTCTTCCCTTTTGTCCCGTCTCTCTCTCTCTCTCTATCTCTCTTTATTGGCACAGTCGAGTGCCTTAAGCTGGTACACGCCGGGGCATAATACAACAACGGTTGTGCGGCAAATCGAACATTGCCCGTTTGACTTGCACACGTTTTTAGCCAAGTAACATTTCAAATATATATATATGCTTAAAGCACCTATCCGACTGATAGTAATCGGCCAAGGTCTGAAAATGAGCGTACACAAGAGACAGACAGATAGAGAGGACGCCAACGCGACACTATAATATTTTTATTATTATGTTAATATAACACACCGAGTGTGTGGTTTAGCGAAACCAACGGAAAAGGAACGGTTAGCATTTAGCTTAGGTTAGGTTTCCGTTTACAAGGCCCACACTTATATCCGGTTGCACTGCAGTACACCGGAGCCTCTGAATTGCCTACACACAACGCCCTCCTCTGGGACGTCTTAAACTCTATTCTGGACGTGTCGTTGTGCAACGGTTTGTGTTGTCTTGTGTGGGTTACAAAACGACATTTATTTCGTTGAAAACAACAGAAATTAAGAAAACATCCGATAGATCCTGACACAATAGTTAAAATGTGTAACCAAGGTTTGTAAGAACAGAAAAATACATATATTGGACAAAAGACAAAAGGGAATTTTTGCGCCAAATAATCACAGAACGGATAAATGCAGAACGGTCACTTTCAGTGTAAACAAAAACAGCCTATATCTGGTATATTACATGTTGTATCTAAACTAATGACGGGAATCCGAAAAACACTATTTAAGCCACTTGAAAATCTTAGAAATGTTATTACAATCAAAATCTAAATGTAAAAAATCCATAGCACTTTATCGACGTTTGTTTTTCTACACACCCACTTGTGCATTTGCGCCTTTTTATGGACAACTTACTTTGAAGAAGAAGAAACAAAAAAACGGTAACGCTACGACGTTATAGGACATGTTAAATGTGGCGACAGACAGACTGCACAAACAAACTCAAGGGAGGAGGTGGGGGAAATTAACACAACAAATGTTTTATGAAATAGAAAATCTAATGTGTTTTTTATACAATGTGTATTGTAAAATATGTACACTGTACGTGGCGTTTATAGAAACTCGGTTAAGTTTTTTCCACAAAGGACAGGCTGCTGGCTTTTATTGATTCAAGTGTACAATTAATTATATAACGCACTACACAGTCCACATGCAGACAACGTTGTTAAGTCATATATTACTATAATATTATGCTTTGATACTATCACGGTAATAATATTACGGTTTTATCCGACAAACATAATATCAAAGTCCTTTTAATTGTACATAATAATAATATACATAATGATACGGATAGTTTATTTGCATTTAAAATAAATCACGTGGTCCGTGCGGCGTTAAATGATCGATAAACTGTTATTTAAGCGATTAAAACCAATGTACCTTTTTATCCGATTTACCTAACCGGTAAACAATACTGGTATTACATGTTAGTGTAGTATGTTACATATGTAAGTGTATACGCAATTTTTTAATTACCTCGCCAACTTTTTCGAGACGACATAAACACCAGAGTGGACAAATAGCCACAACAGTCCAGGCTAAGGTTTTTTTTGGATACACTTAAACACCCAAGGTAGTCTACCAAGTGTTTATGCAAATAAACACTTGGTAGACTATTGTGAGTCATTTAGAGAGATATATCTCAAGAAGGTACTTTGCAATCATAACGAAAACCGTTATGGCCATACACACCTTGGATAGTATTTTAAGGCATGATAAATGTTTTAAATAAGTGTTGAGTTTTTTTTTAAAAATATATTATCTACAATATTAATTGCCGTCAACATCTATAATAACCGAATCCGATACAATTTCTAGACAGAGGAGACTAGCGCACAAGTCTACTTAAAACTATACACTATTAAATAACACATTACAGTTAATTATTATATTATGCTATTTTCTATTCGGCGAGGTGGTATCCCGTAGTGTTTGCTCTGCGATGAGGCTGAGATACCACCAGCTGTGTTCACTCTGATCTGTCGATAAAAAAAAAAATCGAAATGCAATAACAAGTTAACACAGCGGGGTTCCCAGACCCACACGACAGAATAATATGATCTTGATACATCTTGATCTTGATCACGCCATCTGGTATCGTCGGCCGGCAACTCCTCGAACGCCAATGATCGACAACAGATGGCGTTGCGTTTATCAAACGTGTGCCGACATCGCCATAAGATTTATATCCATTTATTCATTTCGGTTAGGTAGGAAAAAAATATAATTTATAATCCTTTCCAAAAAAAAAAAACTAAGTAGTATGGAAAAACGCCTCCGACATAAGACCTCCTAATATGTGTTATTATAAAATATGTATTTGTGTACTCTGTACCATTATCCACGACAAACACAGTCATGGCCACATTAATAATAGGTAAAACACCATACCATACAGCATACTTATCTTGTTTTTCTTGAATTTTGAACGCATAACATTATACTATTATTCGTACATATGCATATACTTACATATTACAATTATATTGCATACACACACAGTTACTAATTTTTTATGGGAGTTAAAGATTTTGGCCAACTAAATGTTTAGTTAAAGCAACTATGTATTTATTTAGTCATCCCCAACTATGTATTTTTCCCTGCATAGACCCCAAGTATCAGTTATGTAACCAGGTTTATTTTTCAGGGGAGTTAAATTAATAAACTCGGCTCGGTTATATAAAGCCTCTAGACAATGTGAAATAACCACCGTTTTTTGTCGGTATTAAGAAAAAATGATTAAAATGTCTTGTCTTTTTAAACGCTGGATGGAAGTTTATTTTATGTGAGAAAAGTAAAGCAATTAGCTTGTGAACAGAATCATTTTAATGATGACAGTGAAATAGGGCGCAGACATGTATCATATTTCTGGTTTTTTAAATAAATAAAAGTCGTTCTACTGGAAACTCTGGCAACGTCACCTTTGAAACATGTTGTTCCATTTCTTAAAGGGTACCCAAGGGTCCCTACCAATATTAGCCTAAGACGGCCGTGCAAATAGATATCACAGAATTGTCTATACCGTTGTGGCTTGAGGGGATATTGCATGCGGTCATTTTTAAAGGAGTTTTCTATACTAGGCAATATTTAAGGGGAAAAAGAGGCTTTAATTAATTTCGACCATGTCACTTCTTAATTTACCGTTTGTATAATTTGTATAAGCTTCGAGGTATTATTTTTAATATAAACAGTTTTTTTCTACAAGTAAAAGCCATTTTGGTTTATTTTAGACCGAAAAAAGGCCAGACAAAATTTAGACTACACAAGATGGTCTAATTTAAATTTGCAATTTTTTTTTTCTAAATTAAAACCCAATTTTATTTTACACATAAATAAAAAAAGCAAAATATCAAAAATCTGTTTCTTACATAACCCAGTAGAGTTGCCTTTGGAACTCGGTATGTCTTTGCAGACCGGAAATCGGACCCGAGTCCTAAGTAGTCAAAATGTTGTCTGGCTTTTTGGTAGACATTACAAGTAGTACTACAAGACTTACAGTTTGTTCTTGTGGGATTCCTTTGCTGTGTCTTCGCCTTCGATACGGTAAATCTTACCGTACATCACGTACTCGAAACTGTCGGCCCTGCAACCGTTCTGTTCCATTTCCACGGGGTTCCATTCGCCGGCGTCCGGCTGACCGTCTTCGCGCAGAGTTGTGGCCAAAACCAGGCGGAATTTATCACCTGCAACATCACACACTTACAATATATTATTTATATTAAAGGCGAACATCCGTTTTGGAAAAATAATAATTGTTTTCTTGCGCTTGGAAAAAAAAAATAAACACAAGTTTATTTCCCAGGTCGGAATTGGCCAATTACCCGAAAACCGGTCCACGTCGATACCCACGCACGCGCATGCACGTACAAAATAGGATGTTAAAAAATGAAAAAAACCGGTTCGATTTGCTGCTAAGATTTGCTATTGCGTTTTCGCTGAGGGAACGATAAAAGTAAAAACAATCAGCACCGTAGCGAGTAAGAAGAGTTGGTCGAGGAGGCCGCCAATAGTCATCGGTGGAGATTTGTCATCAGAGTTTGGAGGTTGTAATAGATTAACATTAAAAACGTCAGATTAACTTTGGAAGTGCAAAAAAAAATGCTTTTGTTTAGGGCCTTTATTGGTAGAGCATTTTTTTATTTGCTACAATAGCAACAATAATAGTGACTAAATTATGAAATTTTGACGATGAGAATAATTTAATTTTTTTTTACAGCAGAGCAAGTCAAACATAATACTTTCAATGTATTTTTACTGGCGACGCGACGGATAAATTACAAAAAAAAAATATATATAATTGGCAAGTATTATAAGATTTTCAACTATAGGAAATCATAGAAGTGGTCATTTTTTAATATCGACTACAAAAATCTGTCGGGCCAGCAAATACATTATGTGTATATATTTTGAAAAAAGAATTTACCGATAATTTTTTAGTTTTAAAATTCAAAGGCAAAAAGGGGTCAAGACTCCGATCCACTAAGATGGTTAGAAAGCTGAATACAGCAGCTGGCACAAACAAATATATAAACAGTAAACGTTTTGAGAAGGTATTCAAACTATAGTCAGCAGATTTTTTGATTACTCATTTAAAAAAACCGATTTTCTGTTGGAAAATAACCGCAAAAGAATTAGGACGTAGACTTGTGGTTTTAAAATCCAAATCATTATTCGACACGTTGTTACAAAAATCAACAACACACACACACACATGTATATATTGTTATTATTTTTCTCAAAAAAAGAGAGAGTAATTGTGTTCACTTATGAATCATATTTTTTTCCATCGAATCGTGCTAAAATATTATAGTAAATAACAACATCACAAAAAAACATCTTAAAATACATAAAATATTGTGTTATTGACTGAGAGCAGTGATTTTTCGAACACTAATGACACTATTTTTTAAATCCTTAAGTGCCCGTTATACTGACGCGAGTGTATAATATTATTTTGTATCTGTTTCTGGATATATATATGGACCTGTGTGTACCGCCATTAAAAAAATAAAAACCGGTTTTATTCGATGCGCTCAAAATTCGCGCAAAACAATATCATATAATGTGTAATACTATATAATAATGTTATTTAAAAGTCATAAAATAATCGTGTACCAACAAATTTAATATAGTTTCACCGAAAACTGTAAGAAAATTCATAAAAATAGAATGTTTTATTAAACAACAGAAATCATTGCAGAATTCGTACCAAGAAAATAGTGTACTTATCTTAAGATTGCAAGTACATATTGTACGATTGTCAGGAAAACCGTTCACGATTATTGCAAAATAAAACTACAATTTTACCAAGCTGTTGAGATATAATAATGCAAATTAAAAAAAAAATACAATCTAATTAAAATGTTTGATTTTTTATTAAAAATACCGCATTAAAAGGGAGGGGGAGGGAAATTAAATTCTTGTGTGTACTTAGCGTTAACATGTCCAACAACCGTGTCTGGCCGTATCATCTTGCTTAACCTAACCAGAGTAGGACGTTGATACAACACACAAAACATAATATTATATATTTATCAAAATGAACTTGATACCTTTTTATATTAATTTGTGTATAAGGTGTCGAATTATACACGGACAATGTCAATATGTGCTAGTGATTCAGATTTTACTCTTGATGATAATTGTATTTACTTTGGCTCTGATTTTCCCACCTTATTTCGACGTATGACAATTCTTTGTCAATCATAATAGATCGTATCAAGTCCTAAAACCAATTCGGAAATTCTGATAATGTACTTGAATGGAAAATAATATATATTTTTTTAATTTTTGCAAAATTTAAATGTGTATCATGTTATATTTCTGTTTACTAAAAAGTTGCATCGTTTTTCTTGACTTGGCAAAACATATTACATAGATTTAGAAAAGTAGATAACCAAAATGTTATATAAAAAAAAATTGTAAAAAAATGTTTCATATCACTCAATTCAGCAAAACACAACCGCAGTCAAACTACATATACGATGTAATACAATTTCGGTCCGTCAGTCCAGTACATTTATAAATAAAAAAACACAGTACACGAGATAAAAATATATAATTAAATCTTTAGCCGCATTGTCAGTTAACGTACAACTATTTACTTGCATTAAAAAACATTCGAATACACTTCTACATACTCTCTTTAGTTGATATGTTAGAGAATTAAAAACGGATTTTACATTTTACAACACAACAAAAAAAAAATATACCAAAATAATTAAACGGCGCTAAAACGAGCGAGTTGGATACAAATTCAATTACATAACAGCTATTATTGAGATATTATGTAAATAAAACCGACTATAATTATTGTTTTCGTCGGTTGTTCTTGCTCCGGCTACGGTTTATTGAATTAATTGTTTTTTTTTTTCAAAGCGGATCAATACTCAGAGCTCGGTTAGAAACTTTTACCAAGTTGTTTATTCAATTCGGTATACAAAAAAAAAAAAAAACCACTCGTACGCATCCGTCGGATTTTATTTTAACAATATTGGAATAAAAACATGACAAGGTGACGCACACAACATGTTTGAACACATTGCTATAAAGTATACACAACAATTTATTCACATAATGTAGGTACGCATAATATGTGTGCTTGCAACGTATTTTATATTATTATTGCAAGCGTACACACAATATTATATTCCTCCACCGTTTCCCGTCATTGCACAAATTTAACGGACTGGCAGTTTTACTTTTTTTTTTTTCTTTCCTTTCCTTTCCTTCGAACTCTTTCTCTCCATTCTGACGTGAACAACCACCACAGCAGACGACGGGCATTCTCCGTTCTCCGTCTTAGTCACCGGCGGCCACGCGATTATGTGACCACCATCGCCGTTAGGACGGGCAATGGGGAAGCCACCGCCGCCGCCGGACTGGCGGTGAGAAACGCGCGCGCGCGGAACGTCCTATACACAACCTTGGCACTGAGCCGCGGCGTCCAGTCGTTTAACCTTGGCATTGAAAAAACAACGGCGGCGAGAGGACTAACAAAAAAAAAAATCGCGATAGGAGCGGGGTAGGGGCGGTGGCGGCGGCGGCGTAGACACTGAAAACGAGCGCGCAAGGGGTCCGGCGGGAGGGGGGGCGGCGGTCGATCCGTCCGCCGGACCGGCGCGGAGAGGCCTGACACACTATGCTCGGTGTTGCGTCACGACGCCGCCGCCGCCGCAGCGGCGCTGCGTCGAGTGGCCGAGTGGTGCGTGGGTCGTCGCGCGGGGGGACGGGGCAGTGCTTTCGGGGGGACAAGTAGGGGAAGGAGCTAATCGATGCGATGGTGTGGCACCAGCTGACGGTGGCAACCTTGGATGATATTGTTTTTTTTGCCAATCGTAGTCGTGTAATTTGGCATAAAACTATTATAATAACTATCTAGAAAAACCTAACTAACGATAGTAAAAAAAAAAAACACATTTAAATTGGAGAATATTATGTTTCTTGCAAAAGCATATACAATCGACAGGTATTTGGAAAATAAAAAAAACAGTAAACCGAACCGAACCTAAAAAACGATATTAATTTTTGTAACGTGGTAATTATAGTTTTTTGTTCGTTAACAAAATCATCGGATTTGTAGACCAACGCGACACAGTCTGAAGGTTATCATTTTTTTCCCTTAAAATTCATAACTGCCAATTTTGTTGAAAAATATCATTTTTTTGTTTTGTTTTAATATGCAACTGAATTATTTAATTATAACCAGAAAAACGCAACAATATTGTTAATTTTTCGCGTTGGGCGGATTAAAACTTGTGACACTGCAACACTTATAAACTATATACTTGTAGTGTGCTAAAAAATATCCTTATCAACTATACATATATTCAATTACAAGTAATCACTGTGTTAAGAATATTCGATTTGAACTTATATTTATCTTTTTTTTTTTTTAACGTATCTGTGACACTTGCAATACGTCATTATTCGACAGTACCCGTCGAATGATAGTAATAATATATTTTACATTAATAGAATTATTTTATTGACATTTTTACCGTTTTTATGTTTTCCAGGATAAAACGTTGGCTCGGAGCGGCGGAAATACAAAAATCGCACGACGGTTTGGCGTTAAGTCCGTTTGATAAAAAAAAAAAAAAAAAAAACGAAACCTCATACTTAGGCCGACGCTGGCGCCAAAATCCAATTTCGTTTGGCCAAAAAAACAGATTGATTAATTATTTACAGTATAATATTTATATAAGACGTTATAAAATGTGTTCGGTAAAGAGATTTTCCTAAGTATACAATGTATCGTGACACAATGCGTGGATCGCGGCTGCGTTGTGTCATATTGCGTGCGCGTGACTACTAGTCGTGCGCCGCCGAGCAGTCGACGAAATTATTACTGAAGATAAACGACCAAATAATATTATATATTACATTGCAATAATAACAAATAACAATAATTACTGCGACGACGACGACGAGGAGGAGAAGCGGCGCGACGTATCGCGCGCGCGCGCGCTCGCTCGCTCGCCTGTATAAAACATGTACTTGTACTTGTTGTACGTGCACTATGCGTTAAATTATTATTTTACGTGTAAATAACGCACGTTGGACAAATACGTTTGACGCGCTAGCAGACGGGGGAGTCGGATTTGAAGAAGAAAAAAAAACACACACACACACACGAATTAACGGATGTTGTGTATAGAAAGCTTTGCTTTGTGGCAATGTCAACCCAATCGGAGCCTCTCGCGTTTTACACGCGCACGCATTCACGATTCGCCAAATATACGGCGGCTGCGGCTGCTGGCACGGCGTAGGAGTATAATTCGCTTAGGCGCTTCGACTGCCGCCCGCGTCCGCATGTGTGTCGGGACGAGAGCGCGCGCGCGCGCGCACCAGAAAAGTTTGTTTTTCGGTCCGGCGATAAACGCAGAAAAAAGAGAAAGTAGTTATTATAATCCAATAACACTCACCCAAATCCATCGGATAGATCCACGAGTTTATGTCCAGGATCAGTTCCATTTTGAACGATTCGCTCTCGCAATGCAATCGGCTCACTGTAACGAAAAAACAAAATACACACAATATACATTAACGATACACTCGAAAAACACACAGCCTACGCGCGTCATGCGCGACCTACATTGTGATAGTTACAAAATCTATGATTTTTAAGTACGACCTTAATATTTTGGTGTACTCAAATCTAACAATAATTACAATGTCAATAACACACCTATTTAATACATTTTGGACAATCCAACAGTCTTAGGACATAATGCTGTAATTATTACTTAAAATAAGATTATATCATCAGGAGTAGGTACACGAGTTTGGTAAAAGCAATTTTTGTCAGAAATCTTAATTTAAAAATAAAACTCTAGTTAAATTGTTCAATCGGTTCGTTAACGTGGGCCTTCCCTTCGCGAGTAATTAATATATTTTTTTTTTATCAGACCGTGTTCATCGTCTTTCATTGGTACTGGTCGACTATAAATCTTCTGTAGTGTCCGTAGACACTTAAAAAACAATATCGGATCTTGCTGTAATTAATCACGTTTTTATTAAAGTAATATTGAAAACAACAAAATCGTAAAAATCACAAAAATGAAGCTATAGCAGAGACACATCAACGACATACGGTGAAATAACATACAACGGTTTAAGGAGTATTTTTTAGTTTTGCACATATCAAGCTAATATTAATTCATATTATATATTATGGTATGTAAACGGATACCGATGACACAAAAACACACTTGAAACGGAGAAAACATTATTTGTTATGCAACCTAACCAACTCATGAATAAAATATAGTATTTAGACTATTAGACTGGTTAAACTAGAGTTCACAATTTGTCTTACCATTTATGCATATTATTATTTCATATATATATATTTTTTTTCCAATCTACATCTCCCGACATATTATATATAGTAGGGCGTTATTAAGATTGTTTCTGTTTACTTTTTCAAACCCATAAACACTGGATTATGTAAACAACTCACTTGTATTAGAATATGTTGTTATTATCATGCTTTCCAACGCGATAGGTCTAAGATGGGTCAGGGCGAAAAATATAAAAATTCCACGGCAGTGAACTTGTTAAGGAAAATAATAAATATTATATGAAAAACACCAGCGATTTCGACTATAGGTTATCGCGGTACAAAACGGTATAATCTCAATTGATTGGCCTACTACTACTCCACTCTCTCGCCGTACAACACCACAACAGCTGTCTTAGGACATTTTTAGAAAAAACAGTAAAGTCCAGTTTTAAGAAGATCATAAAGCAGGCTAAAAAAAAAAATACACACCTTGAGCAAAACAAAATTTACGGTCACTGACAAGGTGAACGGCAGCCAGTATATTATTGTAATTATTTATTCTGACAATCTAACCGAAACCATCGCCGAGTCATTATATTAAACAGAATAACACAAATAGAACATAGACTGCACTGTATTGTATAGTATAAAATAGTCTATTGCGTTTATCTCTACCCATCTAACATCGTTTTATTACTGAAAACTGCACAAATTAATTTTGACGGTGGCATTTGAAAATAATAACATGTCAAATAAGAAAACATTAAGATTTTATAATAAGAGCGATTTTAAAAAGCTACAATGTATAACAACAAGATTGGGGGGCGAGTAGGCAAGCAAATGCCGATTTACTCTTACTAGAAAAGAATAGGACCCTTATTAGCCCGAATAAAGCGAAAAGGGCAACTCGTAGAATAAAGTCAATCAAAAGCCATTCGATTTTTGGTTTCGGGTCATTTAACGCGAGTCTACACATTCTCTCGGTTGTAAAGAAAGTATAGTGAATACTAAACGGTCAAAGATAAACAAAACCATACATAAGGGGAAAGGAGGACCCTTTGGGAGTATTTTTCAGCTTTAAATGTAGAGCGATTTACTTAATTTTAGGTAAAGTACTAACTAGTCCACAACTCCTCATTTTTTAATTTTAGTTTACGGCCGAAAAAAAAACTGCTAGTGCTGATCTCTGTATATATATAATATATATATATGCATAAAAGTGTAACAAAAAAATGTGATAATCGTGCACACAGGTGTGGCCCATATGTGCAAATGCAAATGAGGATCGCCGAAGCTTTCCAACATGGCGACATTACCAGCAAGGTTTAAAAAAAAAAAAAAAAACTATAAAAATCATCAACATAAATTTTGCCTAATTTCGCACAATATGTGTATAAATACAAATTTTTGAAAATTAATATTATACCCAACATTTGCACAGTTACATAATTAGACTACTAGTTTTGAAAATTATCGAACAAATTTAAACCAATTAATTATTATTACAAAACATGTCATCTTCTTCACCTCATTCCATGCAAATGGCGCCGACCTGCCAACATTTTTCCCCTCTACAAAAATTCAAAAATTCTACTCTTCAACATTATTTCACATATCCGCAATATTATTTATGATATCCGTCTCTCCGAGACTCTCTACCCTCAAACTGTCTTATGTGTTTTATTGGACTCGATAAGGAGTTGATTAGACCAACAGTGATTATTGTTGATAGTAAAGATATTTTATTTTCCTTCTATTTCTTTCAAAAAATCCAAACCATCTCAATCAATCTACCATCTCTCATTTTTCATACTATGAGTTCTATCCATGTAACCGCCTAGTCACTTTCACACCTCATTGATGGTCTTTCTAATTACTTAAAATGCTATACTCTATTAACCACTTGCTCTTCGACCACAGCATGGATGCTTTACCTCTGAGTAAAACCTCAAATAACACTAAGAGAGTTGTCTCGGTCAATTACCAAATCGTGTCAAGCTATATTTGTTAAAAGAGTCAAAAATGTCTGTAATAGCTGACGAATTGACAAGAACAAGATTGTTTAAAATAATAATTGTCGGCGATACTTAAAAGATTTTAAAAAAAATTGCTTATATTACTGCCAATTTTTAAATTCAACCACAACTATGGCGGTGGTAAATGGTTGTTTTTGTTGTATATAATACATATATATGTATAATACCTATACAATAACAGCGTAACTCCTTGTGAGCATTGAAAATACATAATATTTTTATACGGATCGCATTCGGAGATAACTCTCATCTTACCAAGAGACAAATAAAGGGTAAACCGTCCACGTCCTGACATTTCCCATAATGATGATATTATACAAAATCATTTTATTCCAACTGACGTGTTTTCATATGTGTACAACACATGTTTGTGTTTATTATCACAAGTAAAATCGCATGTATATATCAATAATATAATACACTTCCCGTGCGTATAAAAAAACACTATATGGGTTTTGTAGTTTGTACGCAGATGTAGTTACAAACAAATTCGCAATCTTAGTACCAACATAAAAGTTAGAAAAAATGTATTTGTTCCAGTTTTTTTTTTTTTTTTTTTAACGTAGGCGTATAATTAAAAGGCGCCAAGTAGTATTTTTTAAATTATTTTTGCAAACTACAATTTTTTATTGTGTAATATCGTTTAAAATATTATCTCAAAACGGAGTTTTATTCAATCCAGTGTATAAAAGGTATGCTAAAATAATATGGACAATTGTTTACAATCGTCTAATCTTATAGTATATTTAAACAAACAATAATTACACCGTGTGCAGAATGTTTTTTAACGCGTATAACGAAAAAACCTGTTGAAAATCGATCATAAAAAATATATTTTTTTAGTACCATTTATTACCATCTAACGCATTAACCGTACAACAGTATTTTTTTTTTAGCAAATTTAGTCAACTTAATCGCCGTCAGTGTAACTACACGGCGCCAATGTCTTACGGCAATAATATCTTAATAGTAATTAGTAATTATTTTGGTATTAAATGCATAACATGTTAAAATATCAGTGGGTTTAAAGAAACAGATGGCAGCTTAAACAGAAACGCGCACATCAAACTCGACCGCCACCGGCCCCGCTTGTGTTAGTTTATTCTTGTGAACACAAAACATAAAACTAAGATACAAGTCTCGAAGAACGATTTGAACGCAGCAGACAATATTATATATTATTATGCACTAGCTCTTTTCATAGTATTAAACCTAGTACCTACTATACTGCTGCTGCTGCTGCTGCTGCTGTACATAGAAACACAAGCGCGGTGAACCTGTAAGTTCAGTAATGACCGCGAGCGTTTTGCGTGTCTAATAAAAATACACATAAGAGATTACCAGGAATCGCAAGATTACTTCTATTATAATACACACACACACACCACCGCAATCTAATTATTATTATTAAAAATAAAAACCCAATAACAATGCGCAAGTTTTAATACCGTCGATGAGTCGATGAGTAATACAATACACACACACACACACACACACACTCTACTGCTATGTGGAGTGCACACATATTGTTATAGTTAAATATAATATATTTTTTATTTTTCTACCGAAGTCGAAGAAAACATAATACAACAATGCTGCGCTATCTCTATCAAGTACCAAGTAGAGCGAACCTAATAATAATACTCGACACGTTGAGATTTCGATAGAATTACAAATATAATAATAAATGTATTACCTGAATGCATTTCCTCCGATCAATTCCATTATGAGTGCACAGACAGTCGAGTCCGGTGATGTGTGTGTGTGCGTATGTCGTCTTGGTACAATAGTTTGCGTTAAGTTTTTTTGAAAATGTATTTTAAATAATATATTATATTATTATTATTATTATTATTATATACTTTCAACAGTAAGTTACAGCTGAAATTCGGCTATGTACTTGAACAGACTGCCGTTGCCCATTGACACTTGTGGCCTTGCTGAATGAGAATTCGATTCGGAGAGCAGGTACGCGCCTTAGCCGCCGTGCCGTGATGGGCGGTACCCAAATTCATTGACGTCATACGGCCGACGCCGCCCAGCACAAACCCCTCGTGTGTGTAGCCCACACAACGTCTCCCCCGCCGTCATCCCCCTTTGGATGTACACACATTAAATACGCATAAAATCCAAAGGCAGTAATACGTTATCGCGCGTGTGTGTGTGTGCTGTACTCAAGACGACGACT